TATTCCACCACGACAATAGGATATCTCGTGGCGCGCTTATCCGCAATTACCTCCTCGATCCACCCATGACTCCCGGCGGCCAGCCGCTCATTAATCCCACCGGTCGGGTTGCACAGGAGTATGCACAGCTTATTTATGAGGAAAGGGCAAAGTATGACGGATTCAACTTGGTCTTGTTTGATTTTGCCGAGCGACCAGTGAGGGCCGTGTATGTCAGCAATCGCAGCGACCAGGCGGTCAAGGACTTGGAGCCTGGTGTTGTTTATGGGCTGTCCAATTCGCTTTTGGATAATCCGTGGCCCAAAGTTACCAGGGGCCAGCAGATGTTTGCCGAGGCCCTTCAGGTGGGCGGAAGCGACGATGACGTCATCGCGAGGCTGATGAGCGTCATGCGCGATGAAGGTGGCCTGCAAGAGGGAAGTCTGCCGCATAAAATCGAAGACTTGAAAGACCGGATTTTTGTTCCCAAGGTTGACGACGGCCTCTGTGGCAGCATGGCGTCTGGCGACTACGGCACTAGGACTACCGACGTTCTCCTCCTCCGCGGAGACGTGCTCACAGTGGCCGAGCGCAACTACGGCGTCGACAGCAGTGGCGGAAAAGTTCAAATAAGCCGTGTTGAAGTGTGATTGTGTAAGATCACATTAATATATTTTTAAGAAAAGCAGCTTGTCTATTCAGTAGTGGTGGCGGCCTCGAACGCCACCAGGCTCTTGCCCTCGTCCACCAGCTCGCCGACCTTGTAGTAAACATCGGTGACGGTTCCGGCCGAGGGTGCCCGAATGACATGCTCCATCTTCATGGCCTCAAGGAGCACAAGCGGCGCGCCCTTTTCAACAACAGCGCCCTTTTCAACAAGCACCTGGACAATCTTGCACGACATCGGCGCGGCTACAGACCCCGCCGGCCCCGCGCCCTCATCCTCGACATACTGCGGCTGCGGCACATGAAAGGTAGTGGCGGTGCCCTGGTCAAACACCGACACTGAATGGTCCTTTTGGCCAAACACAACCGATGCACTGCACAGCCGGCCGCCCAGCAGCACCCGCAGCGTGCCACCGTTTTCCCGCGGCGTCCACTCAGGCAGCACATCTTCAAACGCGCTCACAGCGCCATCGGCCTTGGCCACGCTGACAGTGCTGCCGGAAATAGTGACCTTGTATGTGTGGTCGCTGCTGGTGATTTCCGCCGATTGCGAGCCAGCGGTGTTGATGCAGAAGGAGTCAGTGGCTGCCCATGGCGACAGCGAGTCAACTCGGACCGCCTGCTGCGCAGCTGTGTCGGCCAGCAAGGCCAGTCCAGCCAGCGCTACGGTGTCAGCGGGAACCGCCTGCTTGGTTGGGAACAGCTCCGGGTGCTTTTCAATAAACCCGGTCTCAACGTCCCCAGCAGCAAAGTCGGGGCTGGTGGCCAGACGGCGCAGGAAACCCAAGTTGGTATGGACGCCGACAACCTCATACTCAGCCAGCGCCTTGCGCAGCACTCGCAGGGCCTCGCGGCGGTCAGAGCCGCGCACGACAAGCTTGGCAATCATTGGATCGTAGTGCACCGAGATTGTGTCGCCAGACCTCACACCGGTCTCAACGCGCACATCAGGCGACTCTGCCGGTGCCCTCAGGTGCACCAGGCGGCCGGTGTCGGGCAAAAACCCAGTGTCGGTGTTCTCAGCATAGATGCGCGCCTCAAAGGCGTGGCCAGTGCACTGGATCTCGTCTTGCAGCTGCGGCAGGCGGTTGCCGGCGGCGACCTCGAGCTGCCAGCCGACCAGGTCCGTGCCCGTGACCATCTCGGTGACTGGATGCTCAACTTGAAGACGCGTGTTCATCTCCATAAAGAAGAACTCTTGCGTGTTGCAGTCCATGATAAACTCGACGGTGCCGGCGCCGACATATCCGACAGCTTTGGCGGCCTGCACGGCCTTTTCACCAAGCATGCGTCTGATCTCGGGCAGCAGGCCGGGTGCCGGCGCCTCCTCGATAATCTTCTGGTGGCGGCGCTGCACCGAGCAGTCGCGCTCAAACAAGTGCACGGCGTTGCCCAGGCTGTCTGCAAATATCTGCACTTCGACGTGGCGCGGGGTCTCCAGGTACTTTTCAATCAGCACCTTCTGGTCTCCAAATGATTTCATCGCCTCTCGTCTCGACGCCTCGAGCATCATGTCGAACTCGTCGGCGCCCCTGACAATCCGCATGCCCTTGCCACCGCCGCCGAGCACTGCCTTGATCAGCACCGGGTACCCAATCTCTGCCGCCTTTTCTTTGAGAAACCCAGCGTCTTGCTGCTCGCCATGGTACCCAGGAACCACGGGCACGCCGGCTTCTATCATAATCCGCTTGCTCTCGGACTTGCTCCCCATCTTCCTCATTGCCGACCCAGGTGGCCCAATAAAAGTCACGCCGGCATCGGCCAGTTCGTCAGCAAACGTTGCGTTCTCCGACAAAAATCCATATCCGGGGTGAACGGCCTGCGCTCCAGACCTCTTCATCACCTCGATAATCTTGCCTGACTGCAGGTAGCTTTCGGACACTGCCGCTTTGCCGATCAGGTAGGCCTCGTCGGCGAGATTCACGTGCAGTGCATCTTGGTCTGCTTCGCTGAAAACGGCCACGGTCTTGATGCCCAGTTTGCGTGCTGTGTGCATGATGCGGCAGGCAATCTCGCCACGGTTGGCTATGAGGATCTTGTCAAACAGAGGCTTGCGCTCTTCTGCAGATGAGATTGCTGTGGCCGCGGCCGCAGAGCTGTAGCGCCGCTGAAGAGAAAGGTGCTGCTGCTGCAGCAGCTGGTGGTGGTGGTGTTGTTGTTGTTGTTGTTGGAGCAGGCCCCGAGTAGCCATTCTGACCTTGCCTGGTGCCAGTCGCGAGTATCCACGCAGTATAGACATGAGGAAGTGATTTGTATAATGTAGGGTGTGCGGCTTTGTGGTTACGAGAGTTGTAAAATAAAATAAAATAATGAATAATACAAAAAAATGTTAAATAAAAAAACAAAAACAAAAAAGAGAGACGAATGAATTTGATGATGTATCCTCGTCTGCTCGCTTGTTTTTCATATTCACAAACCGCGAGGGACAATGGCTTTCACAATGCTGATATTCAAATACGTGTATTCTCATAAAAATAACAATGAAACCGATAGCAGGTCGTGGGAAAAGTCGAAAGCAGAGATCAACAATAGTCACATGGTGCCTAAAATCCTACTTTCCCACGCACAGCTTTAAATAAAAATGAATAAAAAGTGTAAAAATCGAAAGATGGAATAAAAACGGAAAAGATAGCAGTCTCAGAACAACAGCATGAAGCCAGCCACCGCGGCAACAATAGTCATTGCAGCCGGACCATACGACTTGAAAGCGCTCTGTGCGTCGCTGGAGTTTCCAATTGCTCTCCGAGTGGTCGCATAAGTGGTGTAAATCTCGCCACTCACAAGGATAGTGTAGCTGTACACTTCCTCGACATAACCATCACTGTCATTCTCAGCCATCATTGCTTGGAGATCTGGAGGTATAGGTGCACTGATTATAGGCTCTGAAATATCCCCAGATCCAAAAGTTAAGCTAGAGGAGCTTAATTTAGTGGCAACATCATCATTTTCATCAATGACTGGAGGGGGTGGGATGCTCACGCCATCATACGGGTCAAAGGTGCTCGAGGTCGAAGAGTCAGTGTTTGACTGAGCACCATTATCTGATGAAGTGCTTACCTGCTGGGTTTCATCATTAGAAGTGACACTTTGGTTGTTATCATCAACAGGAGTATTGCTGCTTGACTGAGCACCATCATCCGATGAAACGCTCACCTGCGGGGTATTTTCGTAAGAAGAGACACTCTGGTTGTTGTCGTCAACAGGAGTATTGCTGCTTGACTGAGCACCATCATCCGATGAAACGCTCACCTGCGGGGTATTTTCGTAAGAAGAGACACTCTGGTCGTTGTCGTCAACAGGAGTATTGCTGCTTGACTGAGCACCATCATCCGATGAAACGCTCACCTGCGGGGTATTTTCGTAAGAAGAGACACTCTGGTCGTTGTCGTCAACAGGAGTATTGCTGCTTGACTGAGCACCATCATCCGATGAAACGCTCACCTGCGGGGTATTTTCGTAAGAAGAGACACTCTGGTCGTTGTCGTCAACAGGAGTATTGCTGCTTGACTGAGCACCATCATCCGATGAAACGCTCACCTGCGGGGTATTGTAGTAATGCGAGCCATCCTGGGTTTCGTTGCCAACAGGAGTATTGGTGCTTGACTGAGCACCATCATCCGATGAAACACTCACCTGCGGGGTATTTTCGTAAGAAGAGACACTCTGGTTGTCATCAACAGGAGTATTGGTGCTTGACTGAGCACTATCATCCGATGAAACACTCACCTGCGGGGTATTGTAGTAATGCGAGCCATCCTGGGTTTCGTTGCCAACAGGAGTATTGGTGCTTGACTGAGCACCATCATCCGATGAAACACTCACCTGCGGGGTATTTTCGTAAGAAGAGACACTCTGGTTGTTGTCATCAACAGGAGTATTGGTGCTTGACTGAGCACCATTATCCGATGAAACGCTCACCTGCGGGGTATTGTAGTAATGCGAGCCATCCTGGGTTTCGTTGCCAACGGGAGTAGTGCTGCTTGACTGGGCTTCATCAGATGACAAAGCAGAGCTTGCCTGACCTTCTCCTGTCGGCGCATTGGTGCTTTGAAAGATATCAGAATAAGCCGGATTATCAATTGGCAGAGTAGAGTAAATCTGATTCAACGGAGAGCTGGAAGAAGCAGAATTTACCGCAGTACTCCCAGTTGGAATCTGGGGAGCTTTGTAAACAGACGACAAGTCCAAAGAAATTTCAGAGCTAGAATCACCCTGGATCACAGAGTTCTGAGAGGAGATGGTTGGAGGGGAGGGATATTATCGTACGGCCAGCTGAATGACGAACTATTACTTCCACTGTAATTAGAATCACTTGGCCCGATGGTATTGTCAATAAAGCTGGTATCGTCTCCATTTTCTACGTACTTTTCGTCATAGTCGCCGTTTTCATTGTAGCCTTGATCATTGTAACCGTCGGCATTGTAACCTTTGGAGTTGTATCCCTTGGAGTTGTAGCCATCAGAGTTGTAGCCATCAGAGTTGTAGCCATCCGAATTATAGCCATCCGAATTATAGCCATCGGCGTTATAACCATCTGTATTATAACCATCCGTATTATAGCCATTGGAATTATATCCACCAGTGTTGTAGCCATCGGAGTTGTATCCGTGCATGTTGTAACCATCCGAATTATAGCCAGAAACATTATAGCCATCCTCGTCATATCCGCTGTCGTTATACTTCTTGGCTG